CCCCGCGCACCCGCGCGCACCCGCGCGCACCCGCACACGCGCACACGCGCACACTTGCACACACGCACACACGCACACACGCACACACGCACACACGCGCACACGCGCACACGCACACACACACACAAACACACTCACACAAACACAGCCAAACCAACACACACACATAGGCAGCAAAACACACACACACACAGCCACAAACGCACAGCGACAAACACACACACCCAGCCACACACAGCCAGACATGAACACAAACGTGCACACACTCACAGACACAGGCAGACACACACGCACAGACGCAGAGACACAGAGACACACTGACACAGAGACACAGGGACACACACGCACACACGCACACACGCACACACGCGCACACGCGCACACGCACACACACACACAAACACACTCACACAAACACAGCCAAACCAACACACACACATAGGCAGCAAAACACACACACACACAGCCACAAACGCACAGCGACAAACACACACACCCAGCCACACACAGCCAGACATGAACACAAACGTGCACACACTCACAGACACAGGCAGACACACACGCACAGACGCAGAGACACAGAGACACACTGACACAGAGACACAGGGACATGCGCAGACGCGCGCGCGCCGCAAGCACGCACGCAAAGCACACTACGCAGCTTGCAATTGCGGGGCATGGTGCACGCTGAAATTTGAGGTCATCTTGGGTTACTTGGGCTGGACAGACATTGTAAGGGTAATGATGTTATGTGATTGCTTGGGCAGCCACGCTTGTTGGGAGGGTTGTCCAACATAGGCTTCTCCTTCTTCGGAACTTGCCCCGGCATGACCTCACGCCACCGCAGGGAAGTGCAGGTTTTAGTACGGTCTCATGCCGGATAATGACAGTTCCCGCAGTGACAATGTTGCCAGACCTCTTGTGTTTTCGTTCAAGGCCAACTTGCAGAAACCATGCCGCCGTGTTTGTGCCCCTCCTCGCTCAGGAGCTCGCCGGCGCGCCCAAGAAGAAGGCGATGACGGCAAGGCAGGCGGGTGAAATCCCAGCCACGCTTTGTGGGGAGATGAGAAAGAGAAAAAGAAAGAGAGAGAGAGAGAGAGAGAGAGAGCGAGAGGGCTAGAAAGCTATAGAGAGGGAGAGAGCAGCCGACGTGGCTCAGCCCATCTTTCGAACACTCTTACCGCCATGCCAAAAAGGTTATGAACTGTGGATTGCTTTTTGTCTGGTTGCTGCCGGCTTGCTCCATCCTGGCGGAAGCGGCCGAGTGCGCTTCCGAAGCTGCGGCTGAAGCTCGAGGGCTGCTGCAGGCGGAGGCTGAGGTGTCGAAACCGAAGTGCAAACAGAAGCGCCTGGGTCCGATGCTCTTTGCTTTTGGTCAGCAGAAACCTATATTGTATGCAGGTGTATTCAGGTGTGCGCTTTTGCCAAGTGGCCAGGCCATGGCTGTTGTGAGGGGTAGACAAGCAAGAACGCAGCAGCTTGGCTAAGGTGGTGCTACGATGACGACAGGAGCGGGCACCTGACCTGGGCCGAGAAGTGCGACAAGAGCATGTGCAAAATCTGTGTGGAGTGCATGACCACCACAACCATGACTACGACTACGACCACAACCACCCGGCCACCATTTCCGGACTGCAGTGTTTCGCTTGGGGGCCAGGTATCAGCGGCCGCTTTGCAACTGGCCTCCGGGGAAGCTTTCGAGGCGCGGCTTGAGGCGCCCGGCGGGCGCTTCGAGCTGGAGGTGGCGCCCGTGGGCCTCAGCGTGGACATGCGCACCGGTGCGCTGCGCTGGCAGCCGGACTTGTCGCAGGCGGGGCTCCACTGGGCCGTCGCCCGCACGGGAAGCGCCGGAAGCGCCGGAAGCGAGCGGTGCACCTTGGCGCTGGAGGTGGCCGCGGTGGGCGCTTTGCCCGCGGGCGTCTATGTGGCACCGGGCGGCTCTGATGGCGACGGCTCGGCGGCGGCGCCCTTCGGCTCGGTGGAGGCGGCGGTGGCCGTAGCGGCGCCCGGAGCAGTGGTCTATGTCCGGGGCGGGAAGCACTTGTTGAGCTTCGAAGAGTTAGTGGTCGACCTGCCGCCGGACCAGCCCGTGACAATCACCCGCTTGCCGGGGGAGCGGGTTTGCTTCCAGGCATTTTTGGAGTGAAACTTGGGGCCCGGCAGAGCTTGGGCAAGGGTGCCCTTTAAGTGATTGAGGAGGTCCACACTTGCACGTGCTGACCAACATCAACCTTGCAGGACCCTCCAAGATATGACGGCATGTGTCAAATTCAGTTGAAGCCCTGAAAATGGCAATCCTTTTTACAATCCAACAGCTTTGGACCTTAGGCCCAAGGCCTCACTTTCCGTTAGTCGACCCGTGTCGTGTGAGGTGGAGACCAACAAGATCGGGTTCCGGGTGCCGCAGGGCAGCTCCGGAGTCACCTTCCGGGGCCTGGAGATGTGCCCCAGCCGAGACGAATGTTGCAACGCGTGTCCAACCTTTTCGGCTACAGTTCATGGGATTGAACGTTTCACAACTTGGAATCCATGTGTTGGTATCTCAAGTCGGTCTTTGAACTTTGAACACCTGACGTTTCTGGTTTGTCGACACCATCCCAATTAGATTCCCGCATTCCCACATATTTGCTTCCGAAAAGTGAAGGCCCGCAATCATTGGTTGGTGTACCTTGTGTTCCTCCTTGCAACCATTTCCCAAAAGCGAGAGAATGCATGGTACACATCTTCCTTGGCTTTCCTTGGACTCGACTGAGGGCCCAAAAGACTAAAGCTTGGGCTTCCCAACCACTTGCATGCATCTCATGCTTGAAAAGCCCTTTCAGAGGTTGAGGCCTTCATTTGCCGCTGTCAGTGGTGCAGAGGATGACCCTGGTTGTTCGACAATTTTTGATGGCGTCCAAGCTGAAACTCTTGTTTGGCCGCTGGGCTGCGCAAGGTATGGTGCATCTGAGCTGGATGACCACTGGGAGATCCTGAAGACGTCTTGGTGGGGCGTCCAGGATGTACGCCTGGGAGGACGCTCGGTTGGGCTTTGCCTTGTTTTTCAAGGTCTTGGGAGGCTGTTTGGCCATCCCAAGGTCAACCTCTAGCAGCTTCAGCCATGTTTTGATGATGTTTCTTGGGTGTTTCCTGAAATCCCCCCCTAAGTGTCTGCGGAGATGGACATTGCAGAGCTGAGGAAAGACTGCTTTTGATGTGGATGGCCAGCATGTGATCATTGAGGATTGTGTGATCCATGACATGGCGCAAAAGGCCGTCAACATCTACAAGGGCCGCTACGTCACGGTTAGGCAGGGTTTGGCGCTCAGGACCAGTCAAGGGATGCCGTTTGTTTGGAGGGGTGAACCTTTCAAACATGGGGTGTGACTTTCAGGACGGCTTTTGCCGTTTTCCCCAGGCACAACGTCATCTACAACATCGGGCACACCTCCTTGAGCGGTGGCCATGGCATTATGCGCAAGTGGGAGAGGAGCTTCGGAGACCCCGATGATCCACAGTACTTCCGCTGGGACTTCTATGGGAACTTCATTTTCAATGTAGAGCAGCGCATCTACTCCTTCATCCCCTCGAAAGGCTATAGCAGCTTCACTTTGTTTGGCATATTTGCTTTTGCGTGTTCTGCCAAATGGAAACGTGGTGTGTTTGCTGAACCCGCAAAGAGGCAACATGGTCATCGACGAGGGCAAGAGTATACTGACCGACATCACCAAAGACACAAAGATGACCGCCCGAATCTCTCAGAATCTCATGCTATTTGGCGGTGTAGATCATCTCCGGCTGAAGGAAAATCCCAACATGCTGGTGCAGAACAATGCCATCATGGCGGAAGAGGGCCGGGATCACCCCGTCCCCGCTGCTTGTATGGCACCCTTATCTTTTTTACATATTCAGTTTTGGGCAGGCTTTCCTTTGAAATTTGCGACGACAACTAAGCCAAACATGTTGTTTTTCAAGAATGCATTTCTCTTCGAATTTTAGCGCCGCAGTTTAGGCGTCAGACAAAAAATGCAGCGCCACTAGCTGAGGGTCGAACTTAGAAAGCCAGCGAATCTCTGTGCGTCAGCAGCAAAGTATCAAACGTGAGCGTCAGCCGCAAACGAAGTTGCAAATAGGAGTTTGAACTTCAACAATCATAGCCGAAAAAGTGGATCCACTTTACCGTCTCGCTTCCTTTTGGGCCCCTCTTCAAATCAAGCCGGGCACTTGTGCTTCCCTCCATGCCTGCTGGGAAGTGCCAATCCCAAAAACGGGATGTTTTTCGGGTTCTATTCCGAGCCCTGCGGTGTGGTTTTCAATGGCGTAAGGATGGCATCACCTGCAAGAACAATAAGCTGATCCCCAACCTGACCCTCACCGAGAACCTGGTCCAGACCTTTGCCGGCTCAAACGCCTTCGATGTGGCGAGGCACTTTGAGCAAGGCTGGAAGTCACGGGGGGGGTGGTCGGAAATCTAGGACGCTCCTCCTTTTGGATGATGTTCAAAGATAAGATGCAAGGAAACCGACCTTCAAAAATAACCTTTTGAATTTAGCATGTTGGCGCCAACCCTGTGGTTCGCCCGCCCTCAACACTGGTTCGGGTTTATACTGGCCCCACCAACACGTTTTAGGGTTTATGTTGGGCCCACAAACGCTTGTAAGGGTTCATGTTGGTCCCAGGCACTTCGTAGGATTTATGTTGTGTTTAGGGTTTGTGTTGGCCCCCGGACACCTTTTAGGCTTCATGCTGGACCCACCAACACTGTCTTGGGTTTATGCTGGCCCGACCAACGCTGTTTTGGGGTTTATGGCCCCACCAACACTGTTTTAGGGTTGATGTAAGGTGCACCCACCACCACGCTTTAGGGTTTATGTTGGGCCCGCAAACGCATTTCAGGGTTCAATGTGGGGTTTATGTTGGCCCAACCTACACTTTTTAGGTTTATGTTGGGCCCACCAGTTCACACTGGCCCCACGAGCACTTAGGGTTTACATTGGCCTCCAGACACCTTTTAGGGTGCGGGGGCGGGCAAACCTCAGGGTTCTGGCGATTAACATGTTCAACCTCTGACCCTCAGGCGGCTTGGCGGAGGGCAACTATTTCGCTGGCGGTGGGGTGAACGTGGGCCAGGCCAGCGGGATCACGGATTTGGGCGCGAACGCCTCGGTGTTTCGGGACCCATCTGCCTTGGACTTCCGCCGCTCCTCAGCCGCTGGCAACAGTGGCGTGGATGATGCGGTGCTTGCGCGCATGTTCGCCCTGGCAGCGGAGTACGCGGTGCAGGTTTGCTTTTGAAGCGGGAAGCGAACCCCTGAGAATGGCAATCTTTTGAGGTCCTTTTAAGATTTGCGCAAGCCGGAGTTTTCCGCTTGCTGACGCCGCCAGGTTGCTCCCAGTGGCTGGCGCCACAACCACGTGAGGAACGCTGACGTAATCGTCACTCATGCGCCCTCCGAGCATGTGACACTCACGGGACACGGAGACCCATCCTTGGCGCACGGGGCAGGTCGTGTGGCGCTCTTCTACTCTGTGACCTCCAGATGGTACCGAGACAAGTGTAATTGCAGGAAGCTGGAAGTCATCCTGCCGGAGGGGTATGACCTGGCAAAACTGCCAGTCTCCGTCCCTGCTTGACGCAGATATGCAGAGATGCAGGGATGCATGGATGCAGGCACAGGTGTGCCGCATTGAAAGCCTAGGAGTGGCGCATTGCGCCCCCACGAAGCTTTTTTACTCCCGGCACAGGCGAAATGCAGAAAAGAGAAATCACATGTGGGAGTAATGGCCCGTCAGACCTGCCGGAGCAGCTGAGTGTGGAGTCGATCATCCCCTTTTGTGTTGGGCTCCGACACCCTCGAAATAAACACTCAAAAACAGGGAGGGCTGCGACTTTTTTTCCGACATGTCGGCAAGCGAACTGGGTGTGGCTCAGCGGTTTTTTGGACCCCTGGTGTGCAGTTTGAGTTGTCTTCTACGAGCTGCAGGTTAGAGGTTACGTGTTTTTTGAGGCAAGCAGTGCTTCAGGACCAAGTCGAATCTCTCCTTCGTGAAGCAGCACAAGCCGGAGCTCTTCAAGAAGCGGGAGGACCAGCAGGCGCTCGTTGTGCCACTCACATGGATGGGTGGGGGGTGGGCGGGGTGGGGGTGGGGGCAGGACAGTGTTTGTGTTTGGATGAGTTGTATGGTTTGAAGCACAGCGTGGGACAGCGGAGAGCAAGGTTTGCGCAGGTCGGACGGTCGACCATAGCCTTTTGCCCTTCTGCTATGGCTTTGTTGTAGCTTGGTCTCGGGATTTTTTGGCTGACACGCAGAAACTTTGCAAATGCGCCAGGAGAGCGTGGTGCCACCGGGCTTTAAGCCCTTCGGGGAGGACTGGCTGAAATTGTTGGGTTGGTTGGACTACTTGGAGGGCTTAGCGCTGCTTGGGGGTGATTGGGGGCCGGCGGGGCGGGGGGGGGGGGGGAGAATGTATGTGTAGTTCGACGTTTCCCATCGAGACTTCCGCTTCATGTCGTCTTTCCATGCGTCCCATTCAAAGTCGCTTGACAACACCGGAGTTGGACCAAGCGCACTGTCTTGCGTCAAAACTGGATTTTGAGAAAAAGTGACAAACTTCTGAGAACAAGCAAAGTTCAGAAACATTGCACTTGGAGAATTTCTTCGAGCTTGAAGAAGTGCAAAAGTCAATTTGTCTTGATGGATGAGGAAGTGTGCGAGAAAGAGCAAGGGGCTATTTTTGTGTCTTGGCGTTTATTTTATTAAAATTAAAAGGAAATTGTCGCCGACGGCCATATCTCTCCGAATGCACCGGATCTCTTTCGACCTCCGAAGATAAGCGGAGAAGAGCCCGCCTAGTACTGGCCTAGGGGACTGGCTGGGAAGTGCTTAGGGTCCGCCACTTGTCACTAACTCTTCAACAGCTTAGCCTTGGCTGCTTTGGCAGTTATCAGCTCCCAAACTGCTGGGGCACCCTGCAATCTTGCGCTTCTTAGTAGCATGAAGCTGCGCTTGTCCCGTGCACAACAGTGCAAGGCATGAAGTTCCCGTCCCTGAGAAAGTTTTGTGGCGCTTGCGCGGCCTCATTTCTTTGACCCCACAGCCAAGCTCAAGTGCATTGTCAGCCAACATGATACCTGGGAAGGATTCGGCAAGACTTGAGCCAGGACTAACCAGAGGCCATCAGCAATGTAGTTTCAAGCCGGCCCAGACCTTTTGGGGCGATTTTGTTTTGCCTTGTTTCGACTGGAGCTTGCTTGGCTGCAAGTAGCATCAGACCACACCATAGCTTTGCCGGGCTTGCGTTGCACAGTTTGCCCACAGCACCAGCTCCGGGGCTCCAAGAAAAGTCTACAGACGTGTATCCATTGGAATCCAGCCGAGATTGGAAATTTTGGGCTAAGGGCGGTTGTGGCAGGAGGGCTGGCTGCACAACCCGGACACTGGCATTTTCATCGAGCCCTGCGGGGGCAAGCTGTGGTTTGACCCGGAGGCGCTGGAAAGGTCGAAGCCGGATGAACTTGGATGGAAAAGCTTTCACACGCGGTCGCCCCAGGCCCCACGTGAAATGGCAAGATCCTCTTTGGGCAGCGCTGGCCGGCTGGAAATTGAAGGGCTTGCATTGACCATGCAGGTTGTTTATTGCATCGGCAATGGCAGTACAGTAGTACCTTGGACCTTTCAACAACAGCCGAGAGCCCCCAGAATCAGCAAACCAAACCGTTAATTGGCTTATATTTTGGGCACGTGTGGGTCCTTTCGAATTACCCAGGTGTGTGTCTAATTGAGTTGGACTTGTATTTCAGGTTCACGGCTGGCGCTACAGAAGTTCAGATGTCCCAGGTGCCAACAGCAGAACACAAGCAATTGACTTAGGACTGCCAAAATGGATCTAACATCTCACTAGGCAGAGTCTGAACATGCCCACTTCGCAGGAAACTCAATATGTAGGGGGTCCTTTCTCAACTGGCACCAGCTAAATTTCTGCCTCACATCGCGGGGCCCTTTTTTGAAGTTCAGTGCTCAGTTTGAGATTTTCCGATTTCGGGTGGGATGGCCACGTCCAGGCCAAGGAGTATCGGGAGCTCTTCGAGGCCATTTGGTCGCAGTGGGGGGGAAGCGATGTGAGCAAGGGGCAACGGGGTGGATCCCCCGAACACAGGTGCGGTTTCCAGTAAAAACAGACACCGGTTTGCAGATGGCAGGGTAAGGTGGATAAAGGTTAGAGGGGCAGTCCCAATTACAATCAGGTTCGCATATTTGGCCTTTGGATTCTGTACATTGTTTTGCGTACTTCTTCAATACCAGGTCCAGGAGTTGATTGGAACACACATGTCTATCAGTTTAGCATGGAAGACATTCGCAAGCCAACCAAAAGTGATTGGTGGACACAATCTCTGAATAATTGATCTTCAGCAAATGGCCTTGAAATCCACCTCCGCATGAGTCGGGTTGGCCTTCTCCCGCTTCTCGCGGCAGCCCCTTTTCAGGCCCCTTGAAGGTTCTCTTGGATGCTGTTTGGGAGGTGCACAACGTCCCAACCTGCCACGTCCAATGAGCATTTCACGTAGGACCCCATTCTCAATCCCTCTGATTCCTTCAAACAGGAAAACCCAGCTTCATCCCCACGGTGAAGCACATCCTGACCTTGCAAGAGGACCTGGGAAATTTGTGTGCGACCCCCTGGGTTGCCCCCTACGATCTCTCACATCTGTGTTTGCCCCAAATTTGGTCCAAAGCGGAATTGGTTTCTGCCAGGTTTCCCGGAAGCACCGACCAAAACGCGAAACGGGGAATTGAACTTGCCGCCAACGCGTGGGCTTTGTAGGGCTCTTCGCAGCCACTGGTGGCCAATGGGGGCGCCGCCACCCTGGGCGCCGCCGCTGCCAAGCCGCGGCCTCGGCTCATCCGTGCGTCGTTTCGGCCGAAGCGACAGAGAGAGGCGGTGGTTCGAGAAGTTGCATTTTTCCGTTTCTTCTTTTTTTTTTTTTCCTTGGTTTCCTGGCATTCAAGTCTTGAGGGTATGAAATGACCCTTCAGACATGAAGCCTGACTGGCGGGGCTACCAAAAGCGAGCTTTCCTCTTTCAGGGTCTCCCCTTTGTTCCCCTTAAGATTTTCCTATCTCGGCTTCCCATCTCTTTGAGGGGAATTCGGATGCCGTTTCCAACTCATCTACAAAAGGAGGCGGAGGATCTTGTTTTTTGCACATGGAGGATTGCTCGTATGAGGTTCTGGGGGCGTCCAACACTTGGTTGTTGAGGGAAGTTCAAAGGGGATGGGGTGACTCCGAAGATATTGGAAGGGGCCCTGTTATGGGAGGGCGCTGGAGGGACATGCCAACATAAACGCGAGAAATACCTGAGACGGCACGCACGAGTGGATGTGGCAAGCCAGCAAGGGAGCGAAAGAACAAACGACGAGACTGGTTCGGCCCGGAGAGCTCAAGCGGCCGAGGCATTTGTTCATCCCGGACTTGCACCGGACCGCTCAGGCGCTGAAGGCGGGCACCCACTCTGATGCTTCTTTTTCCGAAACGGACAGACTCTGAAGGGAACCCCCCAACATGGATGGTGCCCCATTGACTTCGCGTAAATCCCCTTCCCCCAAAAAATAGTAATCAGACAGAACTGACAAAAAAGCTTAGACGCAAAGGCACTCAAACGGCGTGCTTACATATGTTTCTTATGGCATGGCGGACCCTCTGAAAGATGCGGCGTGTCCCTTTGCTTGTCCATTTAAGCAAAAGCAAACCCACAGTGCTTGTTGGTAACTGTTGGTATATTACGGCTATCAGGCTGGACTCAAATAGGATTTGGACGTGCACTGCAAGGGTACTGCCAAGGCACGGAATACCTCAGGAGTTTGAACTGGGCACAGTGAAAGGATACCTTTTGTCTTGTTGGCGTTCAATTTTTGGCAGCCATCTCAAGTCATGCCAGCCCAAAGTTGACCATTTCATCTTCAGCTCCTTTGGGTTGCAAATTAGATCTCCGGGTGGGATCAACTGTTTAATCTCAAGCAAGCCGTTCAGGACAGAAGTTCAATGTGATGAATCAAAGCAACATTTCTAGAACTTTGTTTCATGGCAGAGGCAGTTTAGTGACTTCGTTGACACGAGTGCCAGTCTGTCTTTGTTTCTGTCACCTGCCCAGTGGGTTTCCGGTCGTGATGTTTAGGCGTTCCCCTTGCCTCTTGGGAGAATCCTTGCCTTTTTCCTCTTAGCGCTTTCCTGGCTTGGGTTTGGCATGGCTTGAGCCATAAGCTTCATTTACCATATGGGAAGCTTACCCCTTGTGATGCAGACCCATGCCATCCGGGAGACGTTGAGACGAGGCCGACCTGGGCCATTTGGATCGCCCGGCTGCTCTCCTGGCTCTTCTGGCCGTGGCCTCGAACCGGAATCGTTCCGACACGCAGATCCGTCGGTGTTTTGTTGGAAGTGAATCTATGTGAATGGATTTTTGTTTTTCTTTCGGTTCCCCTGTAATCAGACCTGAAAAGGGTAACGACTATAAGCTACCCTTCGAGATTCATCAAGTGGATTCACGGGCCTTTCCTCAATTGCTGTTCAGTTGGTGTCGGAGTGCCCAAACTATGGGATAGGCATCAAAAATGAACTTATTAGGGATCAAACAAAAGCTTATTAGGGATCAATAAGAACTTATTAGGGATGAAAGGCCAACTTCTTCTCATTCCTATGGGGAGAAGGAAGAAAGGAAGGAAGGAAGGAAGGGAGGGAGGGAGGGAGGAAGGAAGGACGGAAGGACGGAAGGATGGAAGGAAGGAAGGAATTCCAGGAAGGAAGGAAGGAAGGAAGGAAGGAAGGAAAAGAGGCAGGCAGGCAGGAAGGAACGAAGGGAAGGAAATGTGAAACATTTTGAGAGGTTCTCAATATCGGTTTCGGGAATCAGTGGATGTACCTTTGTTGAAGCATCGCTTCTTCGATCATCGGGGGGGGGGGGGGGCTGCTGCACCCCAACCCCCCCGCTGATTTTAAGAAATGTTTACAGAGATGAACGCGCCCTTTGTTGAAACATCACTTCTCCGGACATCATGGTGGGGCTGCCCCTCCCCGCTCCCCCCCAACCCCAACCTCCCCGCTGGTTTTTAGAATGTTTGCAGAGATTAACGCACCCTTTGTGGAATCATCACATCTTCGATCATTCTTTCTTTATTTCTTTCTTTCTTTCTTTTTTCTTTCTCTCTCTCTCTCTCTCTCTCTGTTTCTGTCTGTCTCTGTTTCTCGCACTTTATTTCTTCCCTTCTCTCTTTCTCTCTTTCTCTTTCTCTTTCTTCTCTTTCTCTTTCTCTTTCTTCTCTTTCTCTTTCTCTTTCTCTTTCTCTTTTTCTTTCTCTTTGTGTCTTTCTCTTTCTGTCTTTCTCTCTTTCTGTCTTTCTGTCTTTCTGTCTTTCTGTCTTTCTGTCTTTCTCTTTCTCTTTCTCTTTCTCTTTCTCTTTCTCTCTCTCTCTCTCTCTCTTTCTCCCTTTTTCTGCATGTTTATTTCTTTTTATCTTTTTTTTGTCGCTTGCGAAAGTGCTGCGCCTGCCACGAAATCTGTACCTGACCTTGCAAAAGTGCTGCGCCTGCCGCATAATCTGGCCCGACCTTGCGAAAGTGCTGCGCCTGCCGCACAATCTGTACCTGACCTTGCGAAAGTGCTGCGCCAGCCACAAAGCCTGTACCTGACCTTGCGAAAGTGCTGCGCCTGCCGCAAAATTGACAAGTTTTTTTGATCCTTGACAAGTTGTTTTTGTTCTGCTGACGTTTCTTTTTTTAGTAGTAAATCTAAGAGAAGAAGCTTTTGTTGACCCCGAACCAGTTTTTATTTGGTCTTCAGGATTAACAAGGGACGGGTATGTGCCAAGCATTAGGTACCCCCTATCCCGCTCCCGCGCGTAGCTGCTGTCCCCCTTCCGCGCGTCAGGTGCCTGATCCGCGCGTCAAATACAATCCCCCCTTCCCGCGCATCAGGTACCCTATCCCGA